CTCTCTCTCTTTTTTTTTTTTTTGCAAGCAACTGCCTTCCCATGTGAAATATTGTGGGCTTAGGCACCCAGTTGTGCTCCTTTTCTCTTTTTTTTAAGCATGTAAGGCCAGTGAAATCTAGGTTAAGCTGAATAGACAGTGTACCTCAACACAATTTGGGTCTTACTTTTACCAGTACCTCAAAAAACCAGGGCACATTACATAATGAACTACCCTATGATTTGTGCCCCAGTGTTGGATGTTTTTCATTTATTTAATTATTTTTCATTAATTTACTTATTTATTTTTTTCTTTCTCTTCTCTGCAAAATTACATTTAATTGTAGTCAGCTATTATATAAAGGTAGATGGTGTCTTGCCATTGTTGAATGTGTCTAGCATCAGTTTATTTTAAATATTGTAGTTTGTTATTATATAAATGGAGATGGCATCTTTTTTATTCAGTCCCATTGTCAAAGCAACAGTGTTAGTGCACATCTGTGCTACTGACATTCCAATCAAAAGCACGTATAATGTTCAACATAGTCCAGTTGTCATAGCACTTACACTACTTACATTCCGAGCAACAAAAAAATTTAACAAGGGCTTGCATTTTTAGTCCGCTCAGTTTTCATCTTAGCAATGCATATGCACACTATTAACTGTTGCTTTTATACTGTGTGCTTCCACATTCACGATATATATTATTTCATATTAACAGGTTGGAAAAATGGTCATTTACACATTGAAAAATATGTAACCATTATTATTGTTCCAAAGAAATTCACAAGAGTATTGTTTTATACTAAAACGGATAAGTTAAACCTATTAAGAACTCTGGTGGTTCAATCTTCTGAAAAAAAAGAATATTATTTACATAAAAAAAAGTTTATATAGGATTAACCTTTTTTATTAGTATATTTGACTGGTGAAGTTAGTTATTAATTGATTTTTTTAAACACTAAAATAATTTTGAAAGTGCTTATCAATCTACTGTTTAATTTGCAGGTGTGTTTGGCAGACAGAGAGTGGTGGGATATTTGGGCCATTAACTCCCCAAACAACTCCTGTTTCAGAAATCATAGATGAATCCACAGAGTTAGTTGCTTCATCCCCAACCAAGCTGCCTCGAATCAGACTAACTCCAGAGAGGTTGCACAAACTCAGAGAAATCTCTGGACTTTCTGCTCCCCAACTCAGACCCAGCATAAGGTACTTAGCTTAATTGTAATGTAAGGCACTTTAGAGGCTGAACATATGGTACTTAGTATGTATAATATATATGTATGTAAAGGTAGAAACTTAAAAGGTTGTAGCTATTTCAGTAGGAAGACTTGTCTTCCTTAGGAACTTTTTCTTTTTTGGATTGTTCTACACTTGGTATAAGAAACTGGGCCAAGAACAGCTAATTTCAGATAGTTGGTCTGGACTCAAACTTCACAGTTTTAATATGATTTTAAATGTAAGGGAGGAGGATGTAGTATTTATTACGTATCATTGAGCTGTATTTGAAGTAGTGGTTATATAGTTTCTGACACGATATCTTACCTTCACTAGCCTTGCAACTCCTACTTCTTTCTACATATCAACATGTAAATGATCATGCAGCAACCCTCCACCAATGGGAGTGCGACACTACCCCTATTGTAACTAGTGCCCTCTCAAATCATGCACTTGTTAATCACTTCTCGATTCGCAGTCTATTAGTTTTCTTTTTTGTGGGTTATAGGGTGGTTTTTTCTTCCACTTTTCTGTTAATGAATTGCTTCTGTGTTCCAATTTCATGTACTGTCTATGTTATTTTGCTATTTCTCCATTGCTTGGCCTCACTGCCATGGAACCTAAATGTTGTCCTTCATGCTCTAACTCGTCTTCTGTTTGAACCTTTGTTGTCATGTTTGTTATATTTCTTTTCTTTGCTCTCCCTTTTCCTCATATTGTTGTCATGTGGTCACTGTCTTTCTGAAGTGTTTGTGATCGGGGTTCGCTATGTTTTGTTCCATAGTTCCTGACCGTTCTTTTGTCCACCAGACTTTGGCTGCTCGGGAGCGTAATCCTGATTTCACTCCACATACCCTTCCCTCCATCTCCCATCTTTAGGACCATTACAGTCCTGACCTACTCTTTTGTTCAATCAGGGCCCTTAGGAAGTATATGACATGTATGGCATTCTTCTATGGTTCCTGATCCATTTGTTTCTTCATTGGAATCCTACTTTTTCTTGTGACTTTTCTCTCATTCCCCTTATGGGTTGGATTTGCCAGTCACTTTGCCAGGCATATTCTTCTCTTTCCCTGTATGTTTGTTGTTTGTTTTTTGTTTTTTCCTATCAGATCTGTCACTTTACCTTCCCCCTTTACCTTTTTGCATCTTCTCTAAGTTGACATCATCAGGGTGAGTATATGGACTACTCTGTTTGTTTTTATTTTTCTTTACAGGGGCCTTTTGTTACATATGTTTTGGATCCTGCTCTGGGCAAGTGGTGCCTGACCAGGTATACTTAGTCTTAAAATTTGCACTGTATGTCCTGTGACCATGCTAGATATTTATCACGTTGTGGCTCTTCCTACTTCGGCCCTGATGTACAACTCTCCAAATGCTGCCAGGTGTTGGTTGATTCACTCTGTCCAATTGTCATCTGTGCATCGATATCACAAATATTACTTGAAATATAATAAAATGTCACAAGGTCATGTTACACACACAATAGATATCGGGTGTTCTGTAGGGCCACTTGTAGTTATATCTCATGGTCTATTGCTTCATAAATATGTTTGTTCCAGACCAATACACTCATGGACTTACATGGGTAAAGCAGACAGGGATTACTGCCCACCTCTGATGCTTCGTGGCATTGAGACTCTTCTTACTGTGGACCCAATGTATAATTCCAGATGCTGCCAGGTGTTGGTTGATCAACTCCATCAATGTGGTAGCTCTGCTTTTCAAAATATGGTATTGCGGTCACCCATTGCACAGTCTCCAGTGCTATGTCCTCCAGACTATCCATTGCATCCACACACTCTTCTTCCAGTGGAGTATGGGAGTCCTTGCCACTTCCTAGCCCCTAGACATTGGTTTGGTGGACCATGGAGGATAGTCCTCCTGAGTGAAGTACAATACCACTCAGTTGAGAGTAGGGCAGTGGCATTCTGCTGGTGTCAATGGTATGATGTCCTTCCTACTGCAAATCTGATATACAGTTCCAGATGCTGTCAGTTGTTTGCTGTAGCACTCCGCCATATCTATATATATATTGCAGTTTGCCCAACTGGTTGAGATATTCCTCCTTCCTACCATCCTTCGGATGTCAGTTCCTGGGTGGGTCAGGTGTCGGTTTGAGACAATCCATGCACATAAGTCCTCACATGCGTTTGGTTGATACCCGCCTCCTACTGTGGACTGGACAATAGAATTCCAAATATCACCAGGTTTGGGACTGGAGATGCATCCCAAATTGGAGTCCCTCTTTATCTTCCTACCATCCTCTGGATGTCAGTTCCTGGTGGATTTGATGTTTGTTGAATCTGGATGAAATATGACTTCCCGCAGTTGCAAGGCTAGGTTCCCTGTTTCTATCGAGGTCTGGTTGTGATATTCTCAATACCGCTAGGTATTGGACCGGAGATGAACGTATCCTGAGCTCTCCTAACTTCCTACCTTCTGCTGGATGTTGGTTCCTGATGGTTATGGTGTTGGTTGTGTTGTAGTAGTGCACATGCAGAGATGGGTTACTGGTATGGAAGCTTGTCTTCCTTCCAAATACCCATTTTTGAGATGAAAGGGAGAAGACCCTCTTCCTACTGTGGAATTGATGCACAACTGCAAATGCTGCTAGGTGTTGGTTGAGGTTGAAATCCCATTTACAGTGTGTCCCACCCTAGCCACTAGATACCTTTTGGTCTCTGTCCTACTGAAAACTTTTGAGGCCCTGACCATGTTTTTGCCCTTTACATTTTGGTCACACATCCCTAAAGGGCAAAGAGTATACCTGGCTCATAAGTGGTGCAGTCTCTCCCACTGGTGTGATGTTTTTAATTTCTTACCACACCTCATGGTCTTTCTTTGGGCACTTTCTCAAGTTGGATCATATTCTCATTGGCCCTCCACCAGTTCAATTTGGGATTCTAGCTTTTTGTAAGAAGAGGTAAGATATCATATCAGAAGTTAACATTTTCCTGAAATGAAAATGTATTTCCAATAGATACTTACCTCATCTCACATTTCCCACATGTCCTCCCCTCTTCTGGTGTGATGTGGTTCCATTAGTTATGATCAATTGAGAAGTGATTAACAAGTGCATGATTAGAGAGAGCGCTAGTTACAATAGAACTAGTGTCGCACTCCCATTTGTGAAGGGTTGCTGTTGATATGCAGAAAGAAGTGGGAGTTGCGAGGGTAATGGTGAGCGAAAGATTTGTGCCAATAGAAGGCAGTATTAGTTTAATTGTTGAATTGTTCTTAACCTACTGGTGTATTTTTCTCTTACACAGGGACATTATTCAACCTGACATGTTGGAAGAGATGATAGTGTCTGCTGTTGTAAAACACCTTTCTTTAGATGAAAGTGTGAGACAGCTAAAAGCAGAGCAGGAGAACTCGAGGAGTCTTGACCAGCGATTACTTGCTGAAGCCATGAAGCAGACATTTCGAAGAACTGATGCTTTGATTCGAAGACTTCAGGTGATCTTTTTTTTTGGAGTTACTTTAAATAATAAATAAAAAATATTTCAAAATAGGCCTTTTCTTGTTCAGTTGCTCTCATTCTGTCAACTGTCATGAAACTCCAAGCTGTATTTGTCAGTTTACCCATAATTCTCCACTGTTCTACTTTACATTTGACTTACTGTGCATGTGTCAGAAAATCTGATATACCTTACCTATAAATTCTGAAGTCAATGTCAATTCTTATGCTAATTCTTATATAAATATTGAGAGTTCTACTACTTCTTTTGAGGTCTTACTCTGCAGTCTGCTTCTAGCATACAGAGAGATCTGTTGGCTGCATTATCATCACTCATTGATCTACATATTCTGACTGTTAAAGGTGAATTGTCTGATTGTGTCTCGGGCAGGTTTCACAATCATGTGGATGCTGAAGCTGCAGAACACCTATCATTTTTTCATGACTTTGAACAAGATAAATCTTTTGCTTAGGCCTTTTCACCTTTGATGTATGCAGAACAGAATTTGTCTGCTAAACCTAATCCTGAAGAAGCTTCTGCTGGTTTGATTTATCTTTTCTTTTGGATATGTTCTTTTTTAGATCTTGAATCAGTTTCTGTTATGCCTAAAGGTGCTAGTATGATGTTAGAATATTCAGTTTCTGAATCTTTATATCTTTCACTTTTTCCTGATACCTTTGTTGTTGCTGATGATTTTCAAAACCAGTAATACATAATTCACATGTGTGGTCTTTTAATGGGATCATTTTCTGATTTTCATTTTAATTCTCAGGAGTTTGACCCTTAGATTGGCTAGTTAGGGGAGGAGGTTTTCCACGTTATTTTTTACTTTGACAAATTTTCAGTTTTGTGCCCTGCACATTGTGATTTGTCATGTTTTGATACTTTCTTCTTCTGCCCAACTATTAACTATTCTCAGTCTCCTACTTCTTTTTGTAAATATCAAATTTCTATTTTACAGTTTCTTATCATGTGGGTCTTATGTTTCTTTTGACATCTTTGCTCTGTCGCTGTGTTTGCAGGAATTTCACTTAAATTAATTGACTTCTGGTATTTTGAGAAAATCAGCAAGTACTGTTTGTCCTCCTGTCTTGCCTTCCTCATTTACTCTCAGTCAATACCCACTTCTTCTACTTCTTCCTTTCAACCCCTTTGAGTGGCCAAACCTAGAAACCAGTGAATGTGAGTCTTTTTAACTATTAAATGCTTTTAATAATATATATAATAAAACATTAGTTATTTAATTTTGGTATAGTTTACATTCTTTTAATATCAGTAAATTAGGTCATTAAAAACGACAGTTTGGTTCTGAAATTTGTTTTGCATGAGTCTACGTGAACCATGTAAAATGATTTTCAAACAGGTAGTTACCTCTGAAATACAGTCCCACTCACCTTCCCACAACTGGATCATATATAATTTTTCCACCATGGCTGCATCATATTTCACAGATCCAACATGCAAAGTAATTTTCATTTTAAGATTAAAAATACTTTTATGCATCAGAAAATTTTCAAATTTCACATGTGAAATCTTTATAATGTCCAGATAGTTATCAAACATTTCTTAAGAAAGAACTTTATATTTTATCTGTTATTTTCATTAATGACTCTCTGTATGGGTTTGGTAGATTTGACTGATCTTGTAACCACCATAACAAATTAGGAAATAAATATAAATTATGCCTCTTTCATTGTAGAATGACAACAAATTATAACACGAAAACATAAATGTTTAGACTAAATATCTTAAATCTCATAACATTATACATTTATATACACTGAGTGGTCACAAGTAAATAGACACCTAATTTTTCGTCATTTAACTGATTTATGCTAAGTAATTTGTGTTTACAGAGCACTATATAAATGAAAATGGTCCGCACACTAATTATCTTGTGCTACAACATGCCTAGAACTCAAGGTTCTCTCAGATTGTCAGATTTTGTTAGAGGAATTATAGTTGGTCAATCAGATGGCGGAATAAATCAGCGGCAAATTTTGCAGAATTTGGGAATCCCGCTTTTGACAGTTAACAGAATCATCGTGCAGTTCAGGAGACACGGCAAGGAAACATCTGAGCAGTGTCCAGGTCATCCTGGTCCATCGGAGAGGACAAAAAGGGCTGTCAAGAGGAGCATCGAAATGGATCCCAGATCAACGGATTCTCCACAGATTGGGTTATCGTTGCAGAGCAGCTAGATGGAAATCCTTATTAAGACCTGCCAACATAGTCAGACGAAAGAAGTGGACAAGTGATATGACGACCAAGCCTCTGGACTTTTGGAAGACCGTATTGTTCTCAGACAAATGAAGATTCGCTCAATTTTCGGACAGTGGAAGGATATGGATCTGGAGAATGCCTCACCAAGAGTTTTGGCTCGACAGATTGCAGCCAACTGTGAAGCATGGTGGTTTCAGCGTGTTGGTTTGGGGAGATGTTCGGGTTGGTGGGAGATCGAATTTAGTGGAGTGCATTGGCAACATAAATTTTGCAAAATACGTCGAAATATTGGAAGGAGCACTCTTGTCACTTTATTCCTCGAGTTTCGTGGA